CCACTAAATTTTAGCTTAAATTTATACTATTTTTCAATAGCGGTAACTCTATGAAAAATCATTGTATCAAGATGAGCCTAAGCTCAAATTAAAGATTGAACATTCCTCTTGATAACTAAGAAAATCAAAATTGAGTTTCAGAAATGCTTTATAAAATGGCGGAAGCTCATTGATTTCTTAACAAATCTATTTTTTGATCATTTTTCTATGATTTTGATTAACAAAGTTACTGTTTTAAAAAAATTGTTACAAAACGGGCTATTTTTTCATGTTTACTTAATATTAAAAAATCCTTGTGTCTCATATTAGGAATCCTATTTTTGAATGTGTAAAATCAGTACTTTTGATAAAAACTTTCATATACAACAAAGTATAGCTATTATTGATTACTAACTTTTAAAAATAAAACTTGAATATTTTTCCTACAACTTTGACATAACAATAGGAATTAAGATTATAAATTAATTAAATTATAAGCCTTTAAAAAAAGATATCTCATATTAGGCACCTTTACCCTAATGCTCAAATATTGGCTATATTCAACAGAGAAAGCAGCTTTGCAACTGCAGTTGTAAAATTCTTTAACATGATTAATTCTTATTTCTCTTACTCTTAGTTCCTTATGGATCTAAATGTATAAACCAATCATATGAAAAAATTTTACAGTTGCAAAGCCGGTTTTTCTGCTGAACGCAGCCATTATAATACTGAAATTATAGAATAATTTTTAAATAGGAATATACAAGGATAATAATTCCTCATATAAAAATAATTAACGCATAGGCTGTGTTTCGATATACACTGTGGGAATATTGAAAATGTATAATTCATTACGTACTATGGATTTTCAGTTTCGGCAATGAAAATATTGGAATACACAAGCAACTATCCTAGATTTGATCTTGACAGTGATCGTTCCGTGTATATATTTCTATTTGTAAAAGATTTATAAAAAAATTAATTGGAAAATAAATAAATATAAAGGAAATTATTTAGATAATGAGTTTTTTAATGTAGTCTTAATGTAGTTATAGTTTTAATGTAGTCCAGTGACGTAGCGAAAGGACAGGCCTGTAAATCAATTGTTTCATAATATTTAATTTAAATTGCATTTGATATTGTTTATTATAGCGATGAGAAATATAGAGGCTAAATATAGTAACATTGTCGATAAAAACGAGCATTACACGTTTTCCCTGTGTTCTGTCCTTTCTACTGTCAATCAAGTCAAGTCAATCACATCACAATTTTCAAAATATTGAACGTAATGCATATAGTAAAACCCTAAGGAGAATATATCGCGACAAATCTGCGATATCGTCCATATATTAGGGCTGTGTTCCAAAATTGATTGCCAGCACTGGCAATACTGTGAACATCGATTTAAAATTTATCGTAGCACGCTTTTGTAATACACTGAGAGACTGATGACGTTATTAATGTTGTCGTCATTTTCTGCTGCGGCTGAAAAGGTGAGGCAACCACAGCACAATACTGACATACC